GTTGCTGTGTGTTGCTTCTTGGGGCTGGCCTTCTTACTCTGCTCGGACGCCATGCCAGACTACGGCCACAATCTTTTAAAGCAACTTGAGCCAGTATGCACATGGAAAGCCTGCGTGCACGGAAAAACAGCATTCATGCTGAACTTGTTGCACAAGTAATTGGCAGTGTCGGGCCCCTTTCTTCCTTGCATCCCTGTGTCAAGGAGCAAAATTTAGATTTACTTCCTTCCATTTGCCCCACAATAAAAAAGAATAAGCGTTTATATTATAGACAATAGCGTTTATGTTTATACAATAAGCGTTTATGTTAAAGCCCTTTTAAAAGTGTATACTTTTATCGGAATAGCCGTTCATTTTTAAGAGACTATTGGAAGATCAAGGTGACCTTTCGACGACATACCGGCTCTCCCGTTTCAACGCCAGGCAATCTGAATGCGCGCGCGCGTGGAGCTCGATTCGAATGCAGCAGCATTCTGATATGAATATATACGATATTTGTGCGAACAGAGTGAAATCCACGTGTGCGCGCAGAAAATGTCACAGTTGTGTCACAAGACCGCGACGGACAGCCGAGGTTGTATCGCCGGCGGAATCTTTGCGCGCAAAAAGATATCTGTATGTGCGCACGCAGCAAGTTTTGGTTCCTATAGTTTTTAGCGCTTGCTTTTGCCACCGCTTTCTTGCCGTAAAGATGTGCCTGTCCAACACCTGAACATTGCTTCAATCTTGCGAGGTTTCCTTTTCGATTCCGTTTGCAAAAACGACTACACGCCGGCTGATGATATCCCACGCTGTTGGGGTCTGTTGCTGCTGAGATAATGGGCTTGAACCTTTGGATCTATACGGCCGCTAAATGAAAACCAGGGTGGCCTCTCAAGGTGGGGTGTGGGCTGATTTTAACTTGAGGCTTGTGACTGCGCCAGAACCCTAACCTGAGCGCTGAAGCCTAAGAGGTTGAGACCTATAGAGTTGGGGAACTTGTGGTCGAGGGTGAAAAAGCGTTGCGGAGTTTGATTTTCTTCGTTTCGGCTTTCGGGCCCTCAATGGAGGATTTTTCAAACAAGAAAATTGCGAAGAAAACCAGGGTACCCTCCGGGAGTGCGGCTCTATTTCTGGAAAGACTGTGAGTACCCTCACCTTGACTGATCGCTTTCTTCTCCAGCGCTGTCATGGTACCCAAAACCCTGGCACGACCTACCGTTTTTCATTCGGACTTGGTGACCCAACCTACCCCAAACCCCTAGCTATACGAAGCTAACCCAACCCGCAAGAAACAGCGGAACCCAAACCCTTACCTAACCCAACAATCTGCCGTAGCCTGCCGCAACAGACCCTAGACCGACCCATACCAGACCGCAAGAGAACCCCAACCTGACCTAAGGTTCTAGCCTGATCTAGCCAGACCCACAATAAACCTTGACCTCACCTAACCTGCCATGGCCTTGCCTGAACTTACCTCGCCCAACTAACCCATCCCGGAGGGACCCACAGAACCCCCACCGAACCAAACCTAACCTAACATTCCCTGGACCCTATAACCCAACCCAACCCACCGGAAGCCCCCATGAACAAATCCACTGACCTAATCTAACCTGACCCAAGTTGAGCGAAGCCAGCTCAGCCCGCAAAGCCCTGAACAGAAACTAAGCGACCCAAATCAACTATTTTCCGTTTACGGGTTAGACCTAAGCTTACTCGATTAGGTCCCTCTTGGTCAAGCCAGTCTCTCCTTCTTTTTAGGCACACTTCCAAGACCGAGGTCTGTGGTGGTTTTTTGGCCAGGTTCTGAAGGTCTCGGAAGGCTCTGAACGTGATTGGGGGGGCCTCCGCTGGTTTGGGGTCTCTCTGAGGGAAGTCCTCGCAGTCCCAAAGGAACCCAATGATGTCTTCATGAAGGGACCAGAGCGAACTGGGTCGGCAATCGCCATCGAGGTGGACGAGCTGTGTTGGTGTGCAAGCAGTCCATTTTGTCTGCTCAACATCGGTCGGTTTTGGTGACGCGCAGATCGTTTTGGTGACACAACAGGCCGGCATGGTGAGCCCCAAACTGTTGGTGAGCAGTCCGATTGGTGTCCTTCCAAGAGTTTGTCTGCGGAGGTTGCAGGATTACCTGTGCGCCATCCCGCATTCCGCAGGTCCAGGACATACCAGAAACTCATGAAGCCTGCCGGTGCCCTGTACTGCCCTAGACCTGGCAACGCGCCGAAGCCTGATTCCAACTTAGCCTGAAGTACGCGTACCTGCGCATCTGTAGAAGCGATGCTGCGATGCAGTCGCTGCTTTGAAGATCACAGCGATTCCCCAAGCCCCTCGCCTGCAGGTCGAAGCTCCAGAGGTCGGCCAGATATCCTGCTCCTCAGCAGCTCAGGGACCCAAGAGATTGCCCCTGGCAATATGTGCGGCCCCGCCCCTTCCTCCCCCCGCCGTGCTCTGCCGTGCTCCCCGGATCTGCTGATGCTTGGAGCAGCCTCAGGCCGGCGCCACTGAAACCTCCGAAGAGGAGCATCCGCTGCAAGGCCACGGCCGCGCTGTGGGACTGCCGCGCTGCGGGCGCCGGGCCGGGCGGCCGCAGCTGCTCCCAGCGCTGCTCCTGCCCCAGGGCTTCTCCAAACTTGACAGCTCTGAACGTTGGCACATGAAAGGAAGTCGTGGGAGAGGAAGACAAGAACACCAAAGAGGTGAAGGCTAAGGCTTAAGGCTGGGTTGGGACACTTCAGACACGATTTGGACTTCCTCCTCCGGGGAGCATTTGATGTTTAAGGCGTCTCAGGGGTCCTTAACCATGAGTTCGTGGCGCGCACAGCGCAGTAGCTGGAACAAACCTTCGATGTGCAAATGATTCGTGAACCTTCTCGAAGAGCGCTGCCCATTTTGCCCCTTCTCCGCGCCCCCAAACAAACACCTTCTACATCCCAAACTCCCTCCTGCAAATGGGCAGCCTGCGCCATGGTGCAGTCCCGACGCCTGAAGCTCAGAATCGTCCAACAGCTTAATGATTCGCCACGGCTCGCTGCCGAGAAACGTTTGGAACAAGCAGACACGGGGAACCCAACCCCACCCCCCCTCTGTGAACCCCCCCCCCCCCTGCACCCCCCCCCAAGACCCTTGGGACTCCCCTTAGGACTCCTGGGACCCCGCCTGGGAACCCCCTCCCTCTTTTTCCAGAAACCCTCTTTCCTCCTTTCCTGTCCATGGGCCGGCCCGGCTACCGAGGATTAGTTCCTTCGGCTCGGGGTTCTGGGCGTTGGCTCTTCTTGGAAAAGAGAAGGGAAGCTTTGGCAATTAACTTCAGACTTCTGGGCCCAGGGTCTGTAGGGCTTGAAACTGCAGGGCATTGCCATAAAAATCTTGAAAGAATTCCTGAAAACCACACAATGATTGTCTTGTAGGTTCCGGCGCTCTACTCTGCAGGCTTCCATGGTGGGCTGCAAGGCTTCAGGCCCACAGATCCCCCACGCAACCCTGCCGCCCCTAAGCCCGAAACCTAATTCCGACACCGCACATCCAAAACCCAAAAACCCGATACATTTCTACATCCACCCAAACCTTGGACTCCTTGGACCCGGGACCCGGCAGCTGTAGGCTCATGACCCGAATCCCTACATCGCCTAAATCGGAAAGCCGAAGCCCCAGAATGCAAAAAACAGCTTCCTGAAGAGGCAAAGGCGCGCAGAGAGAGAGCAGAGCCGCCGATCAGGCTGCGACGGGGCTCCGGGGGCTCCGGGGGCTCCGGGGGCTCCGCGGTCTCCGTTTGCAGAGGCAAGGAGGCAGCAAGGGCTCAATGGCTGATCCTGCCTCTTTCGGCCGCGTGTTTGCGAAACGCTTGGGTTCGGGCTGGTCTTAAGTTTAAGGACATACCTTGACTAATGTCACAGAGTGCCCATGCATGGTAGAGTTTCAGGGTGTCACTGCACGGACATGTTGTCTCTAGGACCGCGAGCCCTCCGACAGCGCGTGCGATCTTTGGCACGTTTGCGTGCTATCATTTTCCTGGACTTGCGCTCTGCTTTCTATTCAGCGAGGGGGAGTGCGAGGTCGAATCCTCATACTTCGTCCGGGTTGGAGCCCGGCACGGCGTGGAGGACAAGCGCTCCTTGCGGGAGGCCAGCCGAGGCTCTGCGTCAGATCTTCAAGGATGGAGACAGGCGAAACACAGCGGCCGCGCCGTGGGCGTCCGTGTGTTCAAGAACTGGTGACAGAGGTCTGGGAGAATGTAGGAGAAGATGTGTGCCGTCCATGCTTGCAGATCAAGAGCATGTTGTTTTTCGACCCTGAGAAAGACTGGGGGAAGGGATGCGGCAAGCTCCTGGTGTGGAGACCTTTTGCTGGTCTGGGAGTGAAGCCCCCGAAAATCCCACCAAAAGCCCCTTCGATGCTCAGCCTGCGGCATCCTCGAAGCTGCCCCGAACTTGTCCCCAACCTCCGCCACCCCGCAGCACCAGCCCCATGCCCGATTTTCTGATTCTTGTGGTTAGTCTGGTTGCTATGGTTCAAAAGTTTTCGAGTAATTAGTATGAATGCTATGAGGAGGAATATGAATGCTTAACTGCTATTATTATTGGGCTATCATTAGGATGACTAGGATGATTTGATTAGAATAATTAGAATTATCAGGATTATTAGGATGAGATATGCGTGATAAGACCTCTGCACTTAGGCCGACCCCCAAAAAGAGGATGAGGAGAACCCCTTAAAGCCTCAAATGCTTCACTGCTGGCTACTATGCCTGGCTTTACTTCTTACCCAAGCAACCACATATGCTGCGCCATGTTGCAGCTCTAGATGGAGCGCTTGTGTGCAAAGGACAACTTTGCCTGGAGGTTCTTGGCTCAGCCCCACCACCTCTCAACTTCAGAAACGTCCTTCATTTTTGCTTGTGCTGCGCAGATCCTCATCGACTAGTAGCAGCTGCCATCCTCGCTAAGGAATGCTAAGGAGTGGAGGTAGACGCGAGCCAGCGCCAGGGAGGAGTACGCTTGGGCCCGCGCCCCTCCCTTGCACTAGAGGCCCCGCAGCAGGCTCAGCGCCCTTGTCGGCGAGGGGCGTAGTGAGGCGTTGCTGTTCGTCAGCTCCTTCGCCGTCTGCACAGCGTTGGCATCGATTCCGAAGCTGAGCCAAGAGGTGCAAGGGCTTTCAGGGTTTGAGATATCGAAGCTGCCCTTTCCGCAGAGCAGCTCCAGCAAAATGATGCCGGTGGCGTAGGAGTCGTAGGCGGAGCTCGGCGCGGTGGCATCGAAGCAACGGCCGGTCCATTCTGGTGCCGAGTAGCCGGCCGTAGAGAGGCAGGGGTCGGTCTTGTTGGGCCACACCTGCATTGCCCCGAAGTCGATGAGCTTCGCCTCACAAATTCCGCCGTGCAGCTCTAAGAGGGGGAACGCTTGCTGAAATCAAGAGGGGGACAACAAAATGACTTGCATCTTGGATGAGTTTTGGAGAGTTTTGGCATTCAAGAGCCTCCCCGGCATCGGTCACGCAGACATTGTCGGGCTTCAAATCGTGGTGGATCAGGTTCTGCTGGCTGAGGAAACGCACAGCCTCCAGAATGCCCTCGACCACGCGCTTCCGCCAGGACCAGGGCTTCTTGAAGGTCGCCTGCTCGTAGTGCTTGAGCGACTGCCCACAGTCCTCCAGCACAAGGAAGGCAGGCTCGTCCACGTCCTCGGCATCCGTGGTCGTGGTGTGGTTCTCGTAGCACCGACAGATGTGCCGGGCACCGGGATCTGTGTCAGCCCCTGGCACTGAAAACAACCGCTGGATTTCGAGGCATTCCTTTTCCGCCTCCTCCACCTCCTGGCTGCCATCCCTTGTCCTGCCGGTCAGATACTTGTACTCTCCAAAGAGCCTGTAGAAGAAGATCTTCAGCACAACATACTCCTTGCGCTCGTTGTCGTAGGCTCTCCAAGCGTCGCCGAAGCTCCCCATGCCGAGATGCTCTGGGTCTCGGAACGTCAGGCTCCGGAACAAGCCTTTGCCGTAGCTTGCCAACTTTCCGACCTTCGGAAAGTTCTTGCCAGGAACCGGGTCGCCGCCCTCTTTACCGGTCTGCTCTCCTTGCTCTTGCAGCTCTTGCACGGCCTCGAGGCGCTCGATCAGCACGAAGCGGCTGCGAAGCTGTTGCCCGGCCGCAAGCTGGTGGCGCCCAGCACCGCGCGCTGTCTCGCCTGTGACGCGCGCCGCCCCCGCACCAGGCACGCACGCCGAGACTGCCAGCACGGCAAGCAGCGACAGTGGCATGGCAGGTGTTGCGCATGAGTGAAGGAGGAATTTGATTTAGCATACAACTGCCCGAACGCCTTCCAGTCAAGCTCGCACAAGAGTGTCGCAATCTGCACCAAGGCCCTTTTACACCTCAACACCTGGGGCGGTCCGTTTTTGTCGCCTGCTTTTTTCCACGGTGCAATGCCTCAAAACGGCGAACAGACTATGCACGTTCTGTTGCTCAAGACAACGATCTCGCTGCCTTGGAAGGAAAACCGCAACTTGAGCTTTTACAGCACTGGCTTTTCTGTCGTGACTTTGAGCAATTGCCATGCCAAAGCTCAAGTTCACAAAAATCAGAAGGTGTAACAGCCAGCTTTGGATGCATGGGCTATATTATATGGACTGAGGCCGCAATCCAGTCGAATACAATAGCAGAATAGCATGCGCGGTGATCCGTACAGGGATACCTGGAGTGTTGCAACCACTGCTGTCACCATGGAATTCTCTGCATGCTTCCCACTGCTTCAGGTACTTGTTACAAAGACGTTACGGACATTGAAGCTCATTAAACAGGCTGTGCAGCGCTTGGGTATGTTACATGCACCTTCGAACGCTCGGTGTTTAATGCTTGCCCAAACTCTGCGGCATTGGCGACAAAAGAACGAAACAAATCCTTTCATGCACTCGAGGATTACGATGAAGCACCAAACCGGCCTGTCGAGGGCCATCCCTGCGACCAGTTCCCAGGTGAAAGAATGCGGGTTCTGAGCCGCGTGGCTGTGTGACTGGTATTGCTGTGCCTAAAGACGCAGGGCAAACCAGGCCTTCCCGACTACCAAGACAATGAGGTCCCAAATGCAGTGACTCACGTCTACAACAGCCATCACCTGCGCGACTATGTTCTCCGGGCATAAGGTGGTTTGAGGTCTCGGGTTTTGGGGCATTCGGGTTTAGGATTGTGATGGATTGTGGGGTGCAGGGGTTTCGGGTGGAGCTCAGGGGCTTCCGACCCGAAACTTCTTGTAGCTCTGAAGGTCCGGAGGATTGAAGACACCAGTTCCGCATCTTGTCAGGAGTTCCCACAAAAACCATCAACCTGGAAACCTTGCAGGGTGAAGAGCTTCAGGGAAAGGCATAAGCCAAGATGGTGTCTCGAACATGAGAGATGAGTGTTTCAGTCCTGCACTCTTGCCAGAGCACCCATTTAGGGGCAGGCAGTGCCTTCACACTTTCGTGCACACATCGTGTTTTGATGCTCTGTCGGGATGCTTCTCTTGCTGGATGCTCATTGTACATCACCATGAGCATCACTACATGTGGGATCATGTTGTGACGCCCCTTCTTCCCCTTTTGCTGAACATGTTCTTGGGATGAGGCTCCGCGTTTCGTTCGAGCGGCGTTTCTTTTGATCTTTTGACAGCTGTAAGCTGCAGTAGTACGTTACATGAGTATTACATGTACGTCGTTCATGAGCAAACCCCATTCCTATACCGGCAAGGTGTTTAATGGCCTAGCCCTTCCACCCCCCCTCGGTAGACCTCCAACCAGCTGCTGAGCTGGACTTCTAGCAATCTTTATATACTATGTTGTACCACCATAGTATACTTTATAGTAGACTATAAGACTATATATAGCCTGCAATACAGTATACGAATCGTGTAGGTTACGACTATATAACTATGTAGTCGGTTTGGCTCCATAAATGCCAAGCGCATGCTCAGCATGACCGGGCGCCGACGTGTCGCAAAAACTCAAAATGCACCCAACCTCCCGGAAACCATGAAGCAGCTTGGACAGCACTGGTGGCATCACGTACTTGACGGCGACTATTGCAGGTGGACAGTTGACTACGCTTGGTCAGCACCTTCGGACCCAGAGGACGGGTACCATGGCACGCGCGGCACTCACATGAGCCCTGGCAGACGTAATCCTTAACGTGTTCGTGCGGTACGCATGGGGATCTTTAGGGTTCGTGCGCCCCTATATAGTACACAATGTAGGAGCCCTGAACCCTGCATCGCCCCACCTCCACCCATGGGGGGAGCCAGAGCTAAACCCCACAGCCTAAAATGAGATCTGAACAGACTTTATACAGTACGCCCTAAGGTTAAACAGTTAAACCCCCTGTAGATGCTACAAAGCTCTTGAGCCAAGGGCAACCCAAAATAGGGAACGTTGGGAGCCCATCTTGTGGAGAATCAACCCGGTAGTTTACCTCTAATCGTCAATATCGGATCTTCTGTATCTCGGTTCCTGAAGAAGCTCGGCATGTTCTTTAAGTCTTTCGCAATGAATGCAAATTCGATGTCCTTCTACTTCTTTCATGCCAGGATCCCCTGGACAGGTAGAGGGAGATAACTTCCTTCGCATGCGCGGTTTGCCCACATTTCCTCTCGCGGTATCAGAGGATGCGTATTTGAATACGCGTTCTTCGTCGCGACCATTGTGGCTCATTGCTCTGTCGCTGTGAGGCTCTCTTGATTTGTGCACTCATTTCTCGTGAGGAATAAGATGACCATACCTGCTTGACAATCACTCAGTTCTGGGTGCAAGTCGACCACGCCAAAACAAATATAAAAACAAAACGTTCAATCTACAAATCGCCTTTCGTAACTCGAAAAAACTTTGCACTGCCGAGGCCATACGAATAGACCTTTATCGTCAAGCGAACGGACGCTTTCTCGAACTCCTCTACAATGCCACCCATCCGGCCTTCAATTTGCATTGGCTCAGGTCGGGCCTGAGAAAATGGAAACTTCACGCAGCGAGATCATGCAGGCCATGTGCTCACGCCAACATGGCTTCTTGTGAAGAGAGAAAGCCCTGTGTTCGGAAGCATGTGTGCATGTAGTGTGGAGCGCATGCCCATGGCAGCACAACTCATGAAACACCTGCGACAACACGCCCCTGGCAAACCTTCAGCTTTTCAACGCAAGCTCTTCGTAAGTAATTGCTCCGGTAAACTCCGCTCTTGTTCCAACTTCATAAAAAGCTCACCAGCTCACCTCGCATCTGCACGCGACTGGGGGGGGGTGCAGATTAAAAGGCAAAGAACATTTCGTCTTGCCATGCGTGAAACGGGAAGCAGCTTCGGCCTGGTAAAGCAGTGACAGATAGAGTCAAAAGGTAGCGACAGTGTTGGAGAAGCAAGTGTAGCTGCCGGACGATTTGAAACAGAAGCCGCTCGTGGTACAATCTACAGGGAAGACTTCACTGCACGGCGCTTGTCTTCACCGGCCTGGCAAGAACACTTGAACACCGCCCCCAACCCTAAAACCTAAACCCTAAACCCTAAACCCTAAACCCTCCCTCAAAAAAGGTACTCGCATCTGGCACCCCGAAGCCTGGGGAAGCGACTTTCCCAAGTCCGGCTCTGGATCCTGCAGTACATGTGCCTGCTCCTGGGCAAAGGTTTAGGGTTTAGGGTTTAGGGTTTAGGGTTTAGGGTTTAGGGTTTAGGGTTTAGGGTTTAGGGTTTAGGGTTTAGGGTTTAGGGTTTAGGGTTTAGGGTTTAGGGTTTAGGGTTTAGGGTTTAGGGTCTGAGGCTGAGCTGAGGAAAAGCGGGAAGTGACTCCTGCAACTCTTGAAGAGCTGCCAGCCTTGGCCCAGGCTGGTCATGCCTCATAACCTTTGGCCGTCTTCCTACACAAACGTCCGAGAGCACAACCCGCCCTCAAGATTCAGCCGTGTATAAACTATCGAATCCCTAGCAAGATGTGTTCAAAAGCAGTCCACGCCTCGGGGATCCAGCGATCAGCCTCCTCGTCCTGAGAGGCGGCGGCCAGGGGATCCTCAGGGAAGATCAAGACGAAGGGAGATTCAAGGCTTGCAGGGTCACACATTTCCGCACCGTTGCTGTTTCTTATATACATATATATATATACATTTTTATTTGCATATTCATATTCATATTCATATTTACATTTATATTTATATTTGATTTACTTTTCTTTTTTTTTTTTTTGGGGGGGGGGGGGGGTGAGGAATAAATTACCAACCCGGTTAGTGTTGGTCGATATCTGATCACCCCAAGACCAGAGGACCAGGACTCCGAGCACTTTTTCGCATTTTCATCGGGTTGCTGCTCCGTGTCTCCAGGATTTTCTTGATTTGGGACTCCCGGGATGTATGATGATGTGTTTTTTTTGCTCAATTGAGTCTTATCGATGAATGGGCTCCTAGATTGTGATTCAGGATTTTTTTGCGAAAACCTCTGGGCTTAGTTCCACATGTTGCAGTGGACAGCCACTTATCCTGAATAGCCACATGTGGCCTATGTATAGGGCAGACAAGACTCTTGAAGCGAAGCCACACTCGCATGAGATCGTCTACTGACCCTTTCTGGGGTGTGAAGCTGTCGACGTGGAAAGTGGATTGAAGGGATGAAAGCATCACGACCCAACCCGTTTTGGAAAGTGTTTGAAGTGGATGCAGTGTTGGAACCCTCCTCGCCACAATACCAAACCGGTTTTGGATTCTGGAGGCAAACTGAATAGACCCCCCCCCCCCCCCACCAATGTTAAAGCCGGACCGAACTGTAGCATTTTGCAGGGGTTGTTGGAAAAGATTGGGTAGCCCTTGGCAGCCCCATTCTCCTGATACCTGTGGAGTCGGTGTGCGATCTCCATCACCTGTTGCTTCTGCAGGCCTTCTGATGCCAGTGAAGAGAAAGGCAAAACCACATTGCTGAGAACTTCCTTGAAGAGAGCCTGGGATTGCGACACGCTTTCTTGACCTCCCTGAAAACAGATGCCCCCTGACCCCAACCTTTTTTTGCACACCTTGCCCCATGCCCCATGCCACCATGCTGTGTCTTGCTAAGGCTGCTAAGGCTGCTGAGGAGCTTGAAGGCGGGCCTCTTGGTCAGCGGCTTGTATCATGGCCTGCATGTCTGAACTCAGAGTATGAAGAGGAGGAAAGTCGAAGTGGGTGTCAGCGATGACCGGCACAATCTCCAAGCTCCGGTGCCCCGGACTGCAGGCATTCAGGGGGATCTGGGCAAAACCTGAATTCCGAAAGAGCCCACGGAAAAGCAACACCACCAGGTAGTAGGCCCATGGTCTCAGCGTCGTCGTTTGCTGGGGCGTCTGAACCACTGCGCACTCAACTTGCATTTGAGCTTGCAGCAACTCCTTTGCAAGGGACACAAGTCACACAATCTGCTGGGTTGCAAAGATGCTGCGCAAACAGGCTTGCAGATCACCTAAGTTTGGGCCCTTATAGAATGTCTAGAAGTATTCTGAATGGTCGCTTCCTTCCCTTTTCTCACCCTGGATTTCGGCAAAAACGCCAGAACGCCCTAAACCGTAAACCGCAAACCCTAAACCCTCAACCCTTTTGAACCTGGAAGCCGCTTCAAACCCTAAGCCCTAAGCCCTAAACCCTAAACCCTAAACCCTAAACCCCCCCTCAGACATGTGCATCTTTGGCAGCAGCTCCTTGAAGACCTCCAAGGGAAGAGATGGCTCGGTTGCAGAGTTCAGGGTGCTTGACGGTGCTTGGGCCACCATTTCACTCGAGTTCCCTATCCAACACCCCCCCCCCCCCCCCCCCCCCCCCCCCAAATACTCAACATGCCCTCAAAAATAAACCCCCCCCCCCGACTTGATAAGACTAACACGTATCTAGGAATTTGTTTTTCTTGTGTGTGTGTGTTTGTCAGCTCTTCGTTTTGACAAGAAACTGCAACTAGAATCGCCGAAGGCGGAATTACTTCAGATTCGGGGGACGCCAACGGGATAGATATAGGGGAGGGCCCCAAAAGGAGCAGAGTTCTTTGGAGCTGAATGTCGACGATTCAGGGCGGACACAGGAACCAGGCAAAGGGCATTGGAGTGTCGGCCTCTAGTGATGCTAGTGGGAACTTGATTATTCCTCTGTGCTCCCCTGCTCACACCGCTGTCGGCCTCGCAGGCAGACAGGGACTCCGCATCTCCCACAGAGCTTGCAACAAGGATCCGTGCTCTTCCAGGCTGAACCTTGAGAGTTTACAAGGGCCCAAACCACTCTTTGGGGCATCATACCTAAGGGGGGGTAAGACTGCAAGACGCTTTCAGCCGAATGGCAGGCATCGACCAGGAGGCCATGCTTCCCATCCCCGACGTTTTGAGGCCGCACAACTTCAGCATCTCTACCACTGCTTCTTCGCGTCCGGAGACCTTGGAAGGGAGCTACCACCACTACCACCACCACCACCTGCGAATCCGAAGCATGGGGAGGCATATGTCAGCATGGCGTGTGCGAGCACTTGTTAAAGCAATCAGAGCAGTTTGTGCACCGCACCTGCCCAAATCGGGGCATCTTGACGGGAGTCAGCTCGTGCTGGAGCCACACATAGGCGGCACTCACGTCCTTCACCTGCACACCGAGGTTGGCTAGATTCTGCTTCTCCTGGGGCGTCCAAAGGGTTGGAATCAGCTTCTGCGACTCATCTGATAGAGGCTCAAAGCCCTCGCAGATCAAGGGCACGGTAGTGATCCTGTTCTTCCATGCTGTGACAATCTCACCGGCACACCAGATTCCTCGGTTGCCGGAAAAACACTCTGTCATGAGCACATTTCAAGGGGGTCCCTTGGCTTGCACGCTAAGCCCCATCCCGAAAAAAGAGAGGTGCTGTGAAACCCAAGCTCTCTTCGGCAACTCGGGCGTCATCACAACCACGACACTGCTCGTGGACGTCCGCACGATGTCGAAAAGATAGTCGAGATTCTCCAAGTTGTCGGAGTCCAGGAACACTCGGGTGGAGCTGTGCCTAGGCAAGAGTTCAACAGAAACGGCAAAAGAACTGTGCCGAAGCGAGTCAGCCAGTGCAGGCAACAAACGAAGCTATTGGGGAAGCTAACTGTCATTTGTCATCTGCGTGCAAGCCAGCTGCTTGGCAATCAGAATCTTGATCAGTCGGCACAGGCTGCCGGAGCCCCCTTTGTGGTGGCAGAGGTACACTCCAAAGAGCCGCTTTTGGCGCTGGAGAAGATCCTTCACGACCGCCCTCGCCAAGCCCACGACGGCCACAATCAAGGTGCCAAAGACGGGAATGCAAAGCAACCAGCCCAGGACTGAGACAGACTGCTCGGAATCCAGCACCAGCAGTGGGCCGGCTCCTAGGAGCACCAACACGAGGAAGGCCGTCAAAATCAGGTCGACGAGATTGGCACTCGACGTGCGCCATGGCCACATGTGAGCCTGTAAGTCATTGACAAGAAGCAGAATTCCGCCCATGACGGGTACCTGAAGCTCTGGTAGGCCGACAAGTACGATGGGTAGAAGAGCCACGAAGGCACTGCGATACACAAGCACCAGACCTGCACAGTTTTGTCGTTCAAGCGCTAAGTGTCAGCAAAATCGTGGATGATTGCGAAAAGGTTGCAAACTCTTTAGCTTCCTGTAACAAGTGTTACAAACTGCGGGCCAGGACGCCATAGTAGTACTTCTCCGGCTTGAACCTGTTGAAGAAGAAGCGGTACCTGTTTGCGAAGACAATGCCTCTGCCGCTGGCCACATGCGAGGGGTACATCATGGTGATGAAGGTGGCCCATGCCAAGAAGGCCGCAGACTGTGTCAGGATGCCTCCATTGCGGGTGGGGAGATTTCACTTACAGACCAAATTCAAATCAAGATGTTCCATTCATGTTTATGTCTGTTGAATTGTCTTCTTTGTAGCACCTAAAAGTGACGACGGTTCTGCACTTTCGCGTGCAACGGGCGAGGGAGAAGCCCTTGGCTTGGCGACAGACTCCTATGACAGTCACGACAATTCACGAGGAACGCGCGCATGGGACCAAGACGACAGTGCTACGCGACGCACGAACCGAAGGCATCAAAAAGCCTAGCGCGCAGAAAGTGCCTCGCTGCCTCGTTGTCTCAGACCTACGCGGGAGCACGATTACGAGCATGGGATGTGCTCGGGACACATAGGCAAGAGTGCGATGGCACCATCCGCGAGGCCAAGAGCATGCTCTTTGCGAGGACTCCGCATGCCCCGCGCCCAGGAGCGCAATTTTCGTCCAGCACTCCAGCCGTAGTTGTAGGGACGCATGTGCTGGGGCCGCACAGGTTCAACAAATATCAACAATCTAACCCCCCCCTCTCCCCTTATAGGACGTTGGAACCCAACGTGTTGGTACAAGGGAACAAAGCAAGGGCCTGCCACAGCAAGCACAATGAGGGCCGTGTGCTCGTTGGACTCGTAGCAGATGATACCAGGATCCGTAACCATTGAAGTGCTTCCGTTTGGGCTTGGGCTGCACTGGAAAGGAATCAGGGTGCTGCGGGTGATTGACAAGAAGAATGCAAAAACTAAGACGCCGCACTTGTGCACGACAGCATTGAAGGATCTTGGACGCCCGGCCATCTTTGACAACAGCCATGCCAGCAACAGGAAGGTGCAAGCGGCCGGACATGCAAGTAGCTGACTTGCGAAGTGAAGCAAGGGACTGTCAGTTCCATAGATGCACGTGATCCTTAGGATGCGCACGTCGAAGGTCATGACCTTGGTCAAGTCCAGCGCAGTCTTCACGGGCTCCTGCCATTGGATTGAAAGTTCCCTGATTGAAGACAGGGCTTGGATCGACATGATGAGCTGGCTGGTAATCGAGGCGGCCGTCAAAGAGTTTAAACCTTGCAGGGCAAGGCTCAACTTCGCTCATATATGCATCCCTTGTTTCGACGTACTCTTGAAACCAAACAATTTTTCCCCCAAAAGGGCATAAGCTGATGTAATAAGCTGGTTTTAACATTGGTAAACGGGGTACTCAGACTTCTAAGGATGCCGACTCGAGATATGCTCTGCTTGCGGTCCCTCCACTTGTCTCTCGCTTTGTCTCCTCTTCATGATGGGTCTGTCGGGTTTCAGGTGGCCGGTTCACCAGTGTTCTGATCTCCCTTCATGTTGGGTGTGCCGGGTTTTCCGTGGCTTGTGTCTCTGCTTGTCTTCCTTTGCTTCCCTTCACATTGGATAGGTCTTCCGGGTCTTCGCTGGTTTTTGTCTCCCCTCGTCTCACATTGTCGCCCTTCATGCTAGACGGGTCTGCCAGGCGTTCGGTGGCTTGTGTCTCCGCATGTCTCCCTTTGCCTTCCTTCATGTTGCATGGGTCTGCCAGGCTTCCCATGGCTTGTGCCTCCGCTTGTTTCCCTTGTCTCCCTTCATGTTTGATGGGTCTGCCAGGTTTGCACTGGCCGGTTCTCCATTCTCCCTTTGTATCCCTTCATGTTGGATGGGTCTGACGGGTTTCCCGTGGCTTGTGTCTCCGCTTGTCTCTATTTGTCTCCCTTCATGTTGGATGGGTCTTTCGCGTTTCCCCTCGATTGTCTACTCTCCCTTTGTCTGCAGACAATCCCACAGAGGCCCAAACATCCCACCTTGGAGGTCTCAACACACAACCCTGAACCATACAGCCTATCCGAGTGCAGAGAACCAAGCTAGTCCTGCAGAGACTGCCACGAGCTCTCCTCTCAAAAGAATCTGAACGGTCAGCGTGTGAAGACGAAGCTGCTTTGTTGCGGGACCTGCGTGCTGAGTAGACAAGTAATTTTTGGAGACGGCAATGCTGCAATTCAGCAGCGGCATGTCTGTTGAGAACATCATGCTTCATGTTTTTGCGGGACTTGCGTGTCTGGGAGTCTTTCTTTGCCAGATCGCGATGCTTGGGCAAAAAAGCGCCACTTGTAACGGCGAGTTTGCCTTTCAGGGGCAGAAAGGCGCCGGAGCCACAAGATTAGATGAGATGCCAGCTGGTTTTGAGAAAGAACCGCCACTTTGCTGCGGCCATTTTTGTTGTGTGCGCTCGTTCAGAAGTTGCAACTGAGTCCATCTTTTCAGGTGGCCCTTTTTTCGGCTGCATCGCCTGGGGCCCAAGCAAACGTGCCACTGTGCGTCCATATCCCTGTGGAGGTGATCGTTTAGGGCTCTTAGAGTTGCTTGCCGGCATGTCTAACCTCAATTTTCTGGTCTGAACTGTTTTGGGTCGTCACAGCACGGTATGCCCGAGCTAATGTGGATGAAAGTGCAGCCCACCCCCCCCCCCCCCCCCCCAAAAAAAAAAAAAAACAAACAAAAAAACAAATCAACAAATTGACTCATTGCCTTCTTTCTTGTGGGAGACCCCAAGAAAGACGCAAGGACTTGGAGCCTGAAAAGGGCCGAAGCGCCACCCCCGTGCTGCTGAAAAGAGGCGGCACACGTAAGCCTTTAGCCTTCTAGAGTTTTCCACGACATGCTACAAGTAGCGTTCTAAGCGTGAGTCGTAGAGACAAGCACTCGGCACATCGATTGCTTGGATTGCTTATAGGCGTCTTCCTATGCCGCTTGGAAACGCACATGGTTCGGATCCGGGTTCGAGATGCTGAGCAAGTACAAGATGACCAGCACCAGGATTAAAACAAGGACTCCTGGTAGTGCGTCAGAGCGTTCGCACGGCTGACACGGCCCACTTTCGGGGAAATGGCTTATCTTGCAGTTGTTGCAAGCACGCCCTTCCCTACCAGAAGCGCACGCTCCCATGGGCCCATGAGGGCACTCAAGCCGATCCCTGCAGCGGAAGACGGAGAAGTCACAGCTGTGTGAGCCGTTGGACACCGCTTCCGCGACCCAGAAGCCGCCCTGCTGCAGGGGAGGATCAAGGCCCTTGGGGCACTGGAGCCCTTCGGGGCACGGGAGACAACCACTCTCCGGACACATGAAAGACCCCTCTGGGCAGAGGCACTCGGACTCCAAAAGGGCGCCGCTCTCGTTGGTGATCTGGTTCTTGCCGCAAGGCAAGCATTGGGGAGATCCTGCAAAGGGCATGTAGCTGCCAGACTCGCACCTTGTGCAAGCTTCCATGCCTGCAAAGGGCGCTTCATAGCCCGGCAAGCATGGTACGCAGTGATCCGCACCAACATCGGCCGCGAAGCTGCCTTCTCGGCACAAAGTGCAGTTCCTCGCCCCTGTCTCATTTGCAAAAGCACCTCTTGGACATGAGACAGCCACACCGCCAGGCCCTCCCAGACACATCTTGCCCTTCGGGCACAATCTGCACTGTCTGGACTCATCCTGGTAGAAGCCAGCGTCGCAAGCAAACAGGTGTGACGGGGGTCTGCTAAGCATGGAGCCATCCATCCAAAGCATGGGGGCTTGGAACGTGAAGGTCTGAGTGCTGGCGCTGAAGGAAGCGACCAAGGCCGCTTCACCTTCCTGCATGTTCAAGAGCTCGTAGGCCGCTAGGCGGTCCCCGTTCTCATCGAAGCCAACCTCACCGGAGGTGCCTGTAAAACGGACTCGGCGCATCTCTTCAAGGAGTAGCTCCCCGCCAATCTCGCCGATGGCCTTCTTTGCATGGAGGAGCTGGTTGATGGCCATGACAAAGACGTAGAAGGCATCGAAGGCAAAGGCAAAGTATGCATTGAGACCCAATCCAGTTCGATTCAACCCATCGATTTCGCCATGGTCGAGGGGCTCCCTCATGTTGTCAAGCTTGTACCTGCTCCTGAACTCTGCCTCAATGTCATCCTCTGCTTCCAGCTTCATCCATAGCTGCTCGAAGTCTGGAAACAAGCGTCCCTTGCCACTGGCCCTGAACATCATGAAGCCCCTTGGGCCCTTCATCTCAATGACGTGATCGGCGCAGGTATCCGACCCCACGATCTGCCAACCGCCACTGAACATCCCCTCCTCCTCTAGAAGGCCCAGAACGTCAAGGGCCATGTTCCTGGGTTGCGCAGACGTGAGCACGGTACCCTTGAGATACGACTTAGAAGTCCAACCATATGAGAGAAACAAAGTGAACATAAAAAACAGTCTCCAAGCCCTTGATACCGAGGCTCCAGAGTAAGAACAGAACTACGAAGCGAGAACCCAGCTTCTTGGCTTGTCGAACCGCAGCCAATGCCTCTTCCTTGACAAAGTCCTTCATGTATCGGAGCGCTTGGCCCTGAACTCGGTCTTCTTGATCTTCGCCACGCGCAAGGTGCTGGAGGGCATCATACAAGCCTTGGCCATAGCCCTCCGCGGTGTAGAGACAAGCCGCCACGACATCGTAATACACGATCCAGCTCCAGAAGGCTCGAGCCTGGAGGCTGTCTGGCGGAGCCGTTCGAAGAAAGAATGGGTACGCATCCTTGTTGGACAGGGCCGCGCTCGTGGCCGAAAAGGACACTTGGGGCACCTTCTGGACAGCAGACACGGTGGCAATGGGCATCGACACGGAGGAATAGGTGGCACCAATCAATCCTATGACCGGCATCTCGCCATCGAGCCCCCACATCATGTCCAAGGCAGTGGCCACTCCCACATCCTGCTTCCCTGCAGTAGTCCCACCCCTCAAGGTGATGGCAGTCAGATTGGGATGCAGGCCGCCTGGGATGTGGACAATAGGAGGGCCATAGCGGGATGCCAAGGATGAATCCCAGTTCTTCCTCAGTCGCTTCTTTGGGTTTCCAAAAAAACCACCAGCCTGCGAATGCAAACCGGGTCAGACGGTTCCCCCAACCTGCCCCCAACTGCAACCCGGTTTCCGGAGGTCCAAGTCGGCGGCAATCACTGCAATCATCAGACCGGCCCCTGTCGGTGAAAAGTGTCCAAGAACTCCCAGGGGCAGCTCAAAGGCACCGCTGTCGCCCGAGGCACCACTAAACCTGCAGGCTCGTCGAAAATGGAGCGTTGGGTGCATGCGCGGCCCTTGTCGGCCCTTGTTTCGGGGGGGGGGGGGGGGGGTTTGATGCCATTTGCCAACTCTGCAGATGAGGCTCTCTATGATTTAGGGAGGGGAAATCTAAATCCCACCTCAACATCCGGACTGCCAGTAGGGCCCCAAGCATCAGCTGCGACGAAGGAGCCATGATCTTCTTGAGGCTGTGCTCAAGACCGTCCCCCTTTTGGGGGCAAAGGCCTATAGGCCCTCTAAGGCCGACACAAAGTGGATGAATGCATATCACACACTGTCACATAGCTGCCATAAGCAGTTTCAGAAGATCTGTTCCTGACAGTACCAAGAGCGCTGACTTCTGTCTCGGGGCGGGGGGGGGGGGGGGGGGGGGGACCTCCCCCTGCATGCGCTGATCAGCCCAGAACATATTTGCAGCGAGTGCAGAGAAGCCTCAAGTAGCAGAACTCCATGTGAGGCTGCAAGACTGTCTGAAGTCCAACAATACAAGCACACGACATGAAACTTGAACCTAGCGGATCTTGCATCTCAGCGTGCTACATCTGACAACAAGCTTTCAGACTTGCAAATGGCGACGCCGCGCTTTTATATTCACCCGCGTCCTGTGCAGCACGACTAGCAGACCAAGAGCAGATCCTCCCTGCTCCCAGACGACCGAGAGGACCGATCCACTACTGAACAAGCCTGTGCCCAGAGTTGCACTTGTGCCATTTCAGTGGCTGAAGAGGTCCGTTGTGTTCTATCGCTCCCCTCACTTCTACTCACCCTAATTGCCTCGGACTCCGCTGCAAAGTTTCTCACTTGGCCAGGAGCTGTCAAGGCAGAACTGGCTTTGCCAGGCTTGAGGGCAAGGACCCTAAACCCTATTGGCCCTATTTTGTAGACCCCACACCTCTGCACCCCTCTCCCCACGTCCACGTGCCAAGACACTCGCCAAAAAAGGGTCGCGTTTGGAATCCGCAATGGACGCTGCCGCTTGTTCACCTCTCTGGGCTTCTGAGAAGGTCTTCGGAGACTGCGAGATCGGGTCAGGATTAGGTGACTAGGGTTGAGCATCGTCTATAGCAACATCGCGCTTTGCGCAGCTCTGTTTCTTGCGTTGGACAGCTTTCACTGAAGTAAGTCGAGTTGTGTGTCGCACTCAAATTCAAAGGCTTCGAACTTCCCTTTCTGTTTCGCATGCGCTTCTGGAACTGCAGGAAATGCAAGTCCTGATGGTTCTGGGAGTTGACTTAGTCACTCCCAGGGTTCAAAGGCGCTCCTCGACCATTCTGAAGCTCGAAAAGCGTCAACAGAATTATCGGGGAGCCGGCTGTGTTCGAACGCGTTTTTGAACAGTTTGCAACACGGCTGCGGAACGAGACATTCAACAAATCAGAGCAAGACACCCTAGAGCCCGGCTTAGGGTTGCTGGAACATCGTCCAAAGCAGTCGCTTGAAATACCATGGATGCCAGAGTATCTGAGCCACCAGAAATGTCGTGGCTGCAAAGAGGACAGCTCCCGGAATGCGCCCTGGCCACATCCATGACAGCAATAATTGGTAGGCGAAGAGGGCAAGATAAGCTGGGCAAACAAGGAGAGCAATGGAGATCGTCTGCAGTGCGTTTAGCCATCTCGATTTGGCCGGCTGACAGCATCTTTCGGATAGAAACATGACCCAATATACAAGTAGTGGAAACCCACCCAGCCACCACCCAAATAAATTTGGGAGATGTCGCAAGGAGTCTTCATAATACCTCGAAGCAAACAGGTCCATCTCACACCACAACATTGGCGATGTACAGCCCAAGAGCCAATGGTAAGGAAATGCCTGTCTTCCAAGCTGTGATGCCAACGCGCCGGATATTGACGACCGCACGCGTATCTCGAAGTCCTCGATGCTCCCAAACCAGAGCCGAAAGCAGTCGGTCAGGATTTTCCGGTCGCAACTGAGAACGCTCCCATTTGGCCCTTGGTGCCCCTTCTCGCAACACCAACACTTTGCCTGGTCGATCTGGAAGTTTCGCATCTGCTCCTGCATCTCCCGTATAGATTCGTAGTAATGTCGCAGAGCAGCTACCGCAGCCGTGAAACCTAGGAAGCCCCAACCCATGAAGACCAAAGCCGCCAAGACGAGATCATTCCATCGGATGAAGAATGTGATCACCATGGTTGCAGACATGCCGCAAGCCAGGGCGCATGTGCACGCCCCTAGCACTGTAGGTCTCACCACCAGTGCCTCTGCACTGTCCCCGTGACTTTTCAGGAAGGCTGCCAGCTCGAACAGGCACCAGAGTCTCTGGCAATATGTCGTGTCCCACATTGAAATCAGGGTTTTGGATTTTTTGAGAAAGCCGCCCAGACTCATGATGCATTCAGCTTTCTTGGCCTTACCTTGCTGATCGACGCAGATGCAGTCCAAGAAGACGGAGCCATTTCCTTTGCTGAAGGCCAGTGTTGGAAGAGCAGCCAGCAATCCTGCAGCAGTGGACCAAAACGAGAGCAGCACGCTACGATCTTCACCCAGCAGAGATGGCCAGGGAACACCTGGAAGGATGCCAGCCACAAAGAGTGCCATTGCAACAAGGCCGGCAAGAGTCCCACAAAGGATGGCATTCAATCCTTTTTGCATTGCCAAAAGCAAAAAGAGCTTGTTCCATGGTGAGCCATGCCAACTGTGTGACCAGAACTGGCCGATCTCAGCCGCCACAAAACTCCGGCCGTGGCTTTGCCGCTGTCGGCGCTTGCAGCAAGCCACTCTGGCCAAGACCCGGACCCCCGTGCGTGCGCTGACCACACGCATCAACCCAGGCTCGATCACTGCCATCTCAGTCATGCACTCGATCGCGTATTGCATGACGCGGGCCTCCAGAGCCTCCAGCGACTCAGCCTGCAGAGGCAGCGGCAGAGGCAGAGGCCGAAGAGCCAGAGGCAGGGCTTGTTCCGTTGCTACTGGCTGGTTCGGGTCATCCAGGTCCGATTCCGAAGAATCATCTAGGTTCAGGTCATCCAAGGATGTCGAAGAGTCATCGCTCATAGGCCTCACGTGCCGAACTCCACACAGGACAGAGAAAACACCCTCGTTCTTCAAGGTTCGATATCCGGCTCGATTTTCGAGCCATCCATGCCAAGGACCGACATAGCGCCCCTAGGCGAAACACAATGCAACATTGAGACTTTGAGCCAATCCGCCGAGCACCAAAAGGGCCACTTCCCTCCAAGCCATCTGAAAGAGCACTTCGGTGATTTTATGCTTTATAAGACCCCAAGGCTGGATAAAGTACCGCGCTTAAGAAGTGGACCCTGATTCGCTGCATGAGCAACTCTCAAGTTCAGAAGCCCTCCGACAAGAGTGCAGCCGAGGCGCCAGGACGTACAAGAATGCGCCAGTTGTTCGGCAAAAACCATCATTCCAGCATCATTCCAGCACATGGGCTCCGTAGGACACCTACGTCCTTCAGCTCCCTACTCAGAACCGGGGCTTCGAGGCTGTGGGAGTCGGTGACGTCAGGGGAGTTTTGGGGGGGCTCGGCAGCTGTGCCGCAGTAGCTGAGCCGTCAATCACAGATGCAGGTTCGGCTGAGCACGGCATGCGTCACAGCTACTGGGATGCTGCAGTTTCGCACATGCTGTACGTGCGGCGGCTCTTGCGTCTCTACTAGCAAGACAAAGAGACAGAGAGACAGAGGGCGCTGGTGAAAAAACAAAATAAGGGTTAAAAACAACGACAAAGCAGCCACAACGCAGCGAATCCTGAGGCTGGGAGTTCGCTTTACATTCTGAGGCGCGCTTGAAGTTGTGAGGTAGATCTGCAGACGGCTTGCGTTGAAGCGGGACTCTTGGCTTGTGTAAAGTTCCAGACATCGGCGTCATCTGATTACCGGCAACCTGACGATTGTCTCATGCCCATCAACAAAATTCGAAAGTGGGTGCCTGAGTGCGATAGCCAAGCTGGCTCAGGAGAGGTCTGCTGAGGCGCGCCTCCCCTCCAAATTTCGTAACGGATTAATTCTGCACAACCAAGACGACCAGACGACCTCACAACCTACCACCAGAATCTATAGAATGTTATGGAAAGCTGACTGCACCACCAGAAGTAAAGAGCATGCTTGCGCAAGAATCTGCTAGAAATTGCTGAAGCCAGGGTGGGATCCAGACTGCAGCACATCATGCACGACGATCTTTTGCTGTGTCTTGCTTGGCGCAGCTTGGCCGGATTGGAGAGTCCCAATGCTTCTGCAACTTGCTTCTGCCGCTGTTGCTTCAGAACCTCCCTGCTGGCCCGGCACCTTGCCAGGGACGGTCTGCCACAAAAGACTCTCACAAGCCCTAAGGAATGGGATTGACAGGATTTGGGCTGTTCTCGCCTGGGTACTGTTTGCTGGGGCTTCCGTTAAATGAAGGAGGCGCTTCGGGGGAAATCCACCTCGAGGATCCTTCCGGCAGAAAGGGAGACCGCTAGTGGCTTTGGGCCCCTCCTCTTGCAACATGCCAGTCTTCTATTCATTCTATTCTGCAAGCTCTCTCAGCCGCTCTCGGCCTCAGTGTGTCCTTTATGGCGAAAGATGGCTGGACACTTCGAGCGCAGTCTTCCACAAAGTCTCCCCAACCAACCTCCAGCATCAGAGCATTCTGCAAACAGGGAAGAAACGTCACATCGTCCCATGGCTCACGACACCCTCCGCTGCTCCCTTAGATGCTTCGGTAGGCTACAGCCTTGTTGCCAGCATTCCGTGCTCCAGTGCCATCTTCACGTCCTCTGCTTGCACTTTCAGGCTGAGCCTCAGGTTAACTTCATCTACAGAGCTTCTTTGGCCCACGCTTCATCAATCAGCTGCAGGCTACTCAGTATGGATTGCAATTCTGGTGGCTAACTACATGGAGCCTTACTCAACGGTTTAGCCACAATCTGCAATCCCCCGACAATGCGACTCCTTTGCCACCCAGGCAACTCGCAAAACTTTCGTCGCAGCCCCAAGTCGCGGCCCATGAACTCTTCTCCTTCAAGCGATCTACTCAGAGTCTACTCACCATTGTCTCTGCAATCCTGTTGCAAACACCGGATATAGAGTCGTGTTTTGGTGCTTCATGCTCATGGACGCGGCTGTTTTGTACTTGTGCCCACTTGTGCCCGGGTGGGGTGAGGCCGGTGGAAGCTTAAGTATCGCCCAGGAGAAACGAATGCACACTCTCTCACCCCCACACAGCCCCGGAGCATCAGCTGAACTTCGGAACTCCAGCTTCTTCCAGAGGGAGGGAGAAAAGCGACAAACAGCTTGCACGCAGCACAGAGCGAGCACAGGGGCTGCAGACTGCTACGTAAACTTGTATGTTTGATGTCTTCGCGAAGTTCCTGGTTGTTCTCACACTTTGTAAGCACACACACACACACGCACATCTCTGAATGCGGCAGATAGAAACGCCTGTTCGGCAGAGATGGCATGCCCACGCATGCTGCACCACTGCTGATGAATTAACTTGCCACAAATGTCTGACCGCTGACTGACAACAAAGCGCATGTCTTTCTGCCTTGCCTGCCTTGGGAAACTTCTGCATCCATCCGCAAAGATCCAGAAGGAACGGCATGCTGCTTTCGATATTCATTCCTGAAGTCAGTACGCCTCACGAATCCAAGCCTGTCGCGCAGCCAGGGGGAAGCACTTGAATCCACCGCTGGAATACCATTGTTTACTCGAATTGGCTTGGTGTTGCTGACAACGGCATCATACCACCTGAGCGGCATAATGTTGCACCCGCTTTACTGGATGGGACCGCTATTATGCGACGTTCCGAAAATCTTATACAGAACCCCCCATTGTTTAGGGTGGTTCACAATTATGCGATGTTGTCCCGGCTGGGGTTGAAGGGCGGGGGGCCGGGGAGCCAAAAACTAGGAGAAGCCCACGAGCTGCCCTGATTCGCTTCGGTGGTCCGCATTAATGCGGAGCCCCGGCGACCGTGGAGCTACAAAGCCTGGAAAGCTTAGACCCTCAAGCTTCAAGGCTTCCCCTCAACCCTCGACCCCTAGCCGCCCTACCCCCAGCCCCCGTCCCAGCCCCATCCCACATTATTAAGGATCCCCGAAAACCCCAAAATTGTTTTGGGGGCGGGGGGGGGGGGCCCCACACTAAAGCGAGTCCAACATTATCAGGGCCACAACGAGCCCATCATAGACTATTGGATCATCTAAAACCTGGCCACTTTATCAACCTTTGCAGACCAATTCCTGTCATCTGTCATCGAAATAGTGTGACCGACGTAGGCGCGCGACTTGCTGCTCGTCTTGATCGGCTCTGTCGTCTCGACCTTGAAGCGAATGTCGTGAGCCTTGAGCAAATCAGACTTCTCTGGCTTCTCTGCCTTACCACCAGCCCGATCAGCGACAAGGGTTGCGTGCACCCAACAGAGCGGTCGCTCGTTGATGAAGACTGTGCGAAGCGAATGGTCAAGCCGCCAATCGATTTCAAACGAGCTGGAAGCTGAAATCGCCATCGTCCACTGCTTGTGCTTGTCTGCGTCATCCTTGAGCTCAAAGCCAGAGTCCAGCAATGCCTTACAATACCAGCTCAAGCATTGCTGCTGAATAGCTTCGGAGGGCTGGTTGTCCTTGAGCAATCCAGGGCAGAATGTGTTCCCCAGACCACGCTGCTTCCTCTTGCGCATCTCCCGCTTGCCCTTCCTGCGGTCAAGCTAAGTTAAACTTTGAACTAAAGAGTGCTACCGCTACTCCTCCCCAGCCTAATACTTGTTTAATTGGAGTGCCCCAAGGAGGTTTCTTGGTCTGTCACATGGGGCGGAGAACTCCAAGCATGGACTTCCTTTTCCTAACCAGAAGGGCACTTGTTTCAATTTACCACGCACTTCCGCATCAAACTCGCTCGGGTAGTCATCACAAGCTGAGCGTCTTTTGTGGAAGAGTGGCAAAGCCCTTCGTTGGCTTCAGAAACACCATCTCCGGCCGGCCAGTCGGCTTTGAGCGCTCCTGTTCCGGGTTTAGGGTCATATACTCCCATACTCTTTCAACGTGTATTCTCCGACATACAAAGGTAGACAGCTCACGGGATGCAACTCTTCTCTAAATCTGTGTATGGGCTTTCGATTCGCCAACAAGATTCTGCCTAGTCGATTGTTTCCTGTAGCCCTTGTGCTGGGCACGGAAATCTATCGGCAAGGAGCACTCGGGGCCCTTCTGATAGTAAGTAGGTCCTACATGATCCGGTCGCTGATTGAGAATGTTCCCGTCAACCTCCTTTCGTTCCTTTTCGCGTGTGTAAGTCGCATGGCAGGCAAGCCCTTGAACTCTCGTGCCCGTCCAGCCTCGAGAGCCACTGGCTCAGGTGCCACACGGTCTGCCGTCTTCCGGTTGCGTCGGTTCTTGACCACGGCCTCACAGCTTCTCGGGCGCAGCCGAGATGCCACGGACACTCCAACAAATGCCAGTGAGAGTGCACCTGCGCTGCACAGAACGTCACAAAGCCTCCTCCAGTTCGTCGACGGACAACGTTGCAGAGGTCTCGGGCAGCTTTGTGCTGACGTCCTTAACTTGCAGGCTTTTTGGTTTGCACGCAGGCAGCTAGGTTATCAGGAAATGGCCGGCTGACAGGTTCTGCTCGAACCAAGCGTCGATCAAGTACATGGTGCCAAACCGAACTCCTCAGCAGCTGTGAGCATGCAATGCAGCACTACACAGACATAGACGCAAGCGATATACACCCTTTCTCTAAGCCCTGCTTTAAGCCCGTCAATCTCATTCTTCAGCTGTCTGCGGAGCATTTCATAGACCACTCCTCCCTGACCCACCCCTGACCCACTGCAGCTGCTCTGTGATGGCTGAACTTTCGTCCAACCCTTTTGCCTCCAAGGTCTGAATCACCACCCTAGCTGGGCGAATTGCAGCCCGAGTATCGGACAGCCAAGGAGTCCAGAAGATGGGGGCTGTTGGCACGCAGCTGGGCAAGTTGGCCCGTCCACAGGTCAAGGAACCGCTGCATCGCCAAGTCCTCTCTCTATGAGCATAGTAGCTATGGCAACTGGGCCACCAACTAGTACTTCGTCCTACTTCTACAGACTGGATGCTTTCAACTACTTCAGTTGTGGCCAGTAGGCGCCGCGTGAGCATTCAGAAACGAAATCACGAAAAACATGCAAGTCGCGCTGCAACGAGTCCTGCCAGCTACCTGTCTGGTCCTGAGAAGCAACTCTATGCAAAAAGCTGGAAAGCAGTTTAGAGCTTAGTCATGCTTCCACCAATTCGTGGCAGCATGCGACATCTGCCACACATGCATGCCGGGAGGTTACGATGCGCCACATCGACTATACCCTGATATACCCATCAACAGCAACATTTCAAGAAGGATACGAGCTGCCAAGCCGAGCATCAACGGTATTCAGGCAGGGCAGCATGCGCTCGCAAGCAGCATGTAGAGGCACATACGCACCCATTGCTTCCACAAATCGGACGCGCGATTTGAGGTTGCTTGCCCCTGCAAACAAAAGCCGCGTAGATCCTGCCAGGTATTCACAACTTGCATGCCTCTGGTGCAGGGAAAGAGGCACAGAGAATCGAGCAGATCGGAGAGACCCATCCGAAATTGCGACCGTGGGGCCTTCCATGAAGTATCTAGATGCCTGACAGGAAGCTCAGCTCAACCAACTCAAGCTGCACCTCTACGAGATCCGAGAGCCTCAGATTCTTCTGCGGTCTCAGCATGTCAAACCAGGCTCCAGCCCCCGCCAAGTCCAGAATCACTTCATGTTGGATGCCACACAGACCTCTGGAGATACGCCCGCCGCCTTGATCCCAAAGCAAATCCCGGGCCTTCGTGGACGGCATTCCCAAGGCCAGGGCTGCTGTGGTGTAGCGCCGCAGCTCACGCTGGAGCTCAAGAATCTGGGCCCGCCTCAAGTGTGCAACTCAGGCTTTTTTTAATCGTTCGCGCCAGGCTCGCCAACCTCTCTTCCGTGCTCATGTTGGCAATAGTTCCAGAAATTTTCAGTACGCGCAACAGCTCCAAACCTCGAGACTTGACCTGCCAGACTGGACCCTGTCCCCCCCTTGCTATGTCAGCTGTAGGCCTTTCATTCGACAACTGCGAGTGCAATCCGACTGCGTGAAATTGCACTCCATTGCGGATCCTTTCGGAATGGAAATGTCGTACCTGGCTCCCAGAGTGCAATTTACCCCGTGACGGAATCTATTGGCATGTCTATGTGCCGTATGGGGCAGAAGGACTACCAGCTCCAGTCACTGGAGAACCATGAGCTTGCAGCTGCATGGGGCTCCCAGCTTTCATGTCAGGGTTCTGGCGGAATTGTCGGGAATGTCGGGAGGTTTCTCGTGGCGTTTGCAGCTTGACATTGCAACGACGTGAACACAAACTCTTGCAGAGGCAACCTGGTTGCTGGTGCTATGCTGGTGCCATGCTGGTGCCATGCTGGTGCTAGGCTGCTATAGGCCTTCACTCTCTCACAGGGTAAGTGCCGCACGTCCCCGATGCAGATAAATACAGCACATCCGATCCCTCAAAGACTTCCAACCTCAGCGTCTCGCGACAGACAGTCCCAGGGTCTTTTGCCTTGACTGTTACGATACCTCTTAATTATAGAAGGGTCCGAAGCCATATCGTCCGTGAAATGTCCTGCTTTGTGTCTGCTCCCAGCAGGGCTCCCAGAAAGTACCGCACAACTTCCAGAATGGTGATGGTTCGGGGCCGGGGGATTCTGCAAACAAAAGAAGATTTCAGCATCTACGCCACGTGTCTCAGCAACCTTGCACATTTGCTCTTCTGTCCATTCGCAGTTGCCAAGGCTTACGTCTCCATCCAAGGAGCTGCACAGAAGCGCCGGAGACGTCACCTGGACATCTGCACATATCTGCACCATCGCGATAAACGCACTAAATTCCTACAACAAACTCACATCTTGCATGATTTGCAAGTCCGGTGGGTCTTCTTCAATTCACGGCGCGAAAGCCAAGAGCAGCTTTGAGAGGCCAAGTCAGGCAAAGGCTCGAAGGTAGGTCTCGTGGAAGGCGCGGTGGCTGAAGAGTCCTGGGCACGCGGCCCCCTCAAATATTCATAACCTTATAAGCCCTAAAAGACTAGTCTCGAAGATGATCACCCTAATTAACAGCTTATGAGTCTAGTAGACTCATAAGCTGTTAAGGTGATCATCTTCGAACTCCACAATGCCAGGAGGCGGTGTGACAGCGCACGTGACAGTCGCCTCGAGATCGACGCCCCGCTCGTCCCCGGGCAAGCCCGAAGCATCGTTTGCACGCGGCGGCTGAGAGAAAGAATCTCGGAGGCATGCTTCGCATAAAGCGCCACTGTCTTGCATGCCCCTCTTGCCAGCCTGAGGTGCCATTTTTAGGAGTCCATTTGTGAAGGTCTAGTCATTGCTAGGGTCGAGAGGTGTGGTCATGGCTCAAGTTGCGGGATGGATAAAGCACCTCTGCCAGGAAGCTCATGAAAGGGACAGCCACTGATGGGCCAGTCAAAGCGAAGAGCTTCATCTCGGAGATCCCTGCGTGCGGCTCATCCAAAAGCAGAAGCATGTCTCCCAACATGTGCTTCTTCGCACATCACGCGCAAAACGTTAAACACACACACACACACACACCCACACACACCCACACCCACACCCACACCCACACCCACACCCACACCCACACCCACACCCACACCCACACCCACACCCACACCCACACCCACACCCACACCCACACACGCACGCACGCACGCACGCACACACACACACACACCTTTCTTTCGCCCATGAGGTGACCTAAAGCTATAAGCAAACAAAGCATGTGCGGGGGCCTCAAGGCTGCCAAGAAGGCGTACAGCAGCCTGGCAAGGCCAAACACAAAACTGCCCCTCACGCCAAACCCTTTGACTTTCGCAGAGGGGGTTGCCTTGTAGTTTCGAGCGTTGTGCAGGCAGCAAGGAAGTAACAGTAGAGAAAGCAGCTCTTATAACGTACAACCTTCATTCAGGGCATCCAGAGAACACGTGCCTGCCCAAGTCGGCAGAAGCTTCACGCGTCGCAACCTGTGCGAAGTCCATCAGCTGAGCCAAACGGCCTTGCACCTCTGTCGTCTGCACTGTGCAGGTACCAGCACCTCAGTTGAATCGTCCAAACCGATGCACATGTAAGGAACCTGGAAACTGACAGAACGTGCTTCTGCCACGAGTGGGGCGACAGCAAGTTGCCCTGCAATTGCACAAAGATTGCAACGTCTCGAGTGTCGTTCATGGTGTGTGCGTGCGTGCGTGCTTGTGTGTGTGTGTGTGTGTGTGTGCGCGCGGCTGCAAAAGAGGCTCGAAGCAATTCAGAGGACCGTTTCAGCTTTGCAGCCTGGGGACACGCTTCAATCGTCTGTCGCAACGCGTCATCTCTCTTCACGATGAAGAGCAGAAGAGCCTGCCGTGCTCGGGGATGCACTATTGTGGAAAGCCGCTGAATGCATGTTAAAGTGTCCTGGCCTCATGCTGGACTTTACGGAAGAAGTCGCACGGATTGCCTTCTGAGGGCATCATTAGCAAGTGTCCGGGCCTGCCATTCGCCGGGCACAAGCACGGCTTCTCCAGCTCCTGGCTGTGAAGGGGTGGTGTATGGTGGCATTCGGAGTCGCCTGCGCCACCTTACTGACACGACCCATCTTCACATGGCAGATGTCGTCCTGCGCAGAATGCCTCCGTGCTGCTGGAACGCACAAGGCCCACGGCCCGGGCCCACATCCTTTGGAAGCAGCCGGGACGAGCAAGGAACAGTCGGCTTTAAAAACAGCTAAGCACATACATGTACAGATGTACATTTGTATATAAATATAAAAATAAACAAATACATATATATATATATACATATATATATGTATATACAGATACAGATACATATTACATATACAGAACAAGTACCGACTCGGAGCACGGCAACAGCCACTGATGGGCCAGTCAAAGCGAAGAGCTTCATCTCGGAGATCCCTGCGTGCGGCTCATCCAAAAGCAGAAGCATGTCTCCCAACATGTGCTTCTTCGCACATCACGCGCAAAACGTTAAACACACACACACACACACACACACACACCCACACACACCCACACCCACACCCACACCCACACCCACACCCACACCCACACCCACACCCACACCCACACCCACACCCACACCCACACCCACACCCACACCCACACACGCACGCACGCACGCACGCACACACACACACACACCTTTCTTTCGCCCATGAGGTGACCTAAAGCTATAAGCAAACAAAGCATGTGCGGGGGCCTCAAGGCTGCCAAGAAGGCGTACAGCAGCCTGGCAAGGCCAAACACAAAACTGCCCCTCACGCCAAACCCTTTGACTTTCGCAGAGGGGGTTGCCTTGTAGTTTCGAGCGTTGTGCAGGCAGCAAGGAAGTAACAGTAGAGAAAGCAGCTCTTATAACGTACAACCTTCATTCAGGGCATCCAGAGAACACGTGCCTGCCCAAGTCGGCAGAAGCTTCACGCGTCGCAACCTGTGCGAAGTCCATCAGCTGAGCCAAACGGCCTTGCACCTCTGTCGTCTGCACTGTGCAGGTACCAGCACCTCAGTTGAATCGTCCAAACCGATGCACATGTAAGGAACCTGGAAACTGACAGAACGTGCTTCTGCCACGAGTGGGGCGACAGCAAGTTGCCCTGCAATTGCACAAAGATTGCAACGTCTCGAGTGTCGTTCATGGTGTGTGCGTGCGTGCGTGCGTGTGTGTGTGTGTGTGTGTGTGCGCGCGGCTGCAAAAGAGGCTCGAAGCAATTCAGAGGACCGTTTCAGCTTTGCAGCCTGGGGACACGCTTCAATCGTCTGTCGCAACGCGTCATCTCTCTTCACGATGAAGAGCAGAAGAGCCTGCCGTGCTCGGGGATGCACTATTGTGGAAAGCCGCTGAATGCATGTTAAAGTGTCCTGGCCTCATGCTGGACTTTACGGAAGAAGTCGCACGGATTGCCTTCTGAGGGCATCATTAGCAAGTGTCCGGGCCTGCCATTCGCCGGGCACAAGCACGGCTTCTCCAGCTCCTGGCTGTGAAGGGGTGGTGTATGGTGGCATTCGGAGTCGCCTGCGCCACCTTACTGACACGACCCATCTTCACATGGCAGATGTCGTCCTGCGCAGAATGCCTCCGTGCTGCTGGAACGCACAAGGCCCACGGCCCGGGCCCACATCCTTTGGAAGCAGCCGGGACGAGCAAGGAACAGTCGGCTTTAAAAACAGCTAAGCACATACATGTACAGATGTACATTTGTATATAAATATAAAAATAAACAAATACATATATATATATATACATATATATATATGTATATACAGATACAGATACATATTACATATACAGAACAAGTACCGACTCGGAGCACGGCAACAGCAGAATCTTGGATTCATCGAGAAGTGCCGGCCAAACAAAAAGGGCGAGAACTGATGATCACTCTACTGCCTACCGGTGTGACCCTGAAGTCTTCGGCAGGTATGAATAGTTCGTACTTCACTGATGCTACTACACCATCTAATCAGAGAAGCTCAGGCCCGCAGCAAGTTCAGTGTCTTAAGAGGTGTTCACAGTGTTCACATGCAACTTAGTTGTGGGATCTCTTGCTCGATTGGCTTGCTGTTCGAAGTTTTGGCACCTGAAATCCTCCAAGTGGCGTGAGCAGCACTATCGCGCCGTAAGCTGCAGGACTCGATGCAGGCAGGACCTTGTAGAAGTGCTCCGCTTTCAGCAATCCTTTCCGGCGGGCTCTTTGGGGCTACTGCAAGAAGGAAAACCCCAAAAAAGTGAACCGCCTCGTATACTACCAAAGTGAACAACAGCAGCGCTTTATGGTAGCCGAACCGGCCGCCAGCTGGCAGAGCGTCGGTCCTTCGTCGCTCAAGGTGACATCGACTCTCTGCTCGTCGTCCGTGTCCATCGTGTCCAGCACTTGGCGCAGGCTGAGACGCAAAACGGGTACTCGGGCCTCGAGCACCTCCTTCTTCTCCACGGAAATCGCATCCAAGGCCGGAGAAAGAACGTTTCGCAGAAAATGCTTTGCTTGCTGCTGGCTGGTGCAGCGCTTGAACTCTGCCAAGTCGCTCCGCTGGATGAGCTCTTCAAATGCTTCCGGGTGGACCACGGCACAAACATCCAGATCAGACTCTTGCTCACAAAGACCGAGGGCTGTTGATCCAAATGGGTGTAAAGAAAAAAGCCGGAAGCTGTCCGACTTCCCGCATAGCTTCGCACAGTATAGGTCCAAGGTATGCTGTACCGTTGCCAACGTGGCTAGCCTGCTCGCAACCACCTGCTGCCTTGGCACAACTTTTTGACGTGGCACGACTCTCAATAAACAGGGCACTGTATGTAGTTTGGCCGTCGTTTGTTGAAATGCCGGCATAGAAAACTCAGAAAGCGCAAAGCGGATGCATGACTCGAGATCGCCAAAGAAGGAACCCTGCGCATTCCATATCTGTACTTTGTAAGCCCTGCAATCCCGGTGGCATCCATGGAAGCTGCTCACGTAGCTCAGCTCGCGCTCCGTCGCCCACCATCAAGCACACGGCCTCCCGTGAGTCCTGCGCCTCCGCGACAGCTACAGCATTGTGGGCAAGAACCGCGAGAAGAAACACGCAAGACATGCTTCAGTCTGCAAACAAACAGTTCAGAAACATGAGCGGCATCAGTTGGGATGTTCCCCCTTATACTAACAGTCCTTAATCGGGATTGTAGAATCCCCTATTGTATTCCCTAATCCCTAAACCAGTCCTAAACCCTAAACCTTAAACCCAAAACCCTATTAAGGACATAAGGGGCAACATCCCAAGGCATCAGTGTGCAACACCCTCTGGAGTTGACTCAGCACAGCACGCGCCCATGGAGCTTCTGGCCTTTTGTCCTTTGCTTCAATATGATCTCTCTGTCTCTCTCTCTCTCTCTCTCGAAAATATGAAAATAAAGCAACAAATAAAAACAACACAAACAAATCAATAAATCACTATATGTATATAACTTTAACTCAACATAAATCAGTACATGTATAATATACAAAACACCAGAGCCTTTGCCCAGACAAGTTGCTGAACGTCGTGGGTCATGTCGTACAAGACATCGTACACGATCCAAGCAAAACATCTTCGCCGAGAGCGATCCTTGTGTCCTGCCGGAAAGCCGTGTCGGTGTAAACGACTGCACGTCTACAAGCAAGAAGCCTTGGAGAGGCTAGGATTGCCTAGCTGGCTTGTAGTTGCAGTGTGTCGCCCTTTGTAGAAGACACGTAGCTGACAACTAGCGGCAGGCTTTCTCAGACTCAGAAACCCTTTTCCAGCTGTCCTCCTTCGTACGCGACCTCGTACCATGCGGAAGCCTTCGCACGTGCAGTGGCATCATTCACATCCTCGAAGAACTTGTCCTTCGCAAGTTGCGAACTCTGTTTAAGGATCTGGGGGCTTGCAGCCTCGGGACACCTTAGGAGATTTGCCCACATTGCAGTCGAGAGTCTCTAAATTTCTGCATGAGCAGCTCAAGATGCCAAGCAATCATCTTGGAAGCCTTCTCTTTGTCAGAGGTTGTAGGTGGCCAGTGCAAAGCCTTGGCCAGAACCGCCTCCGATTCATGTCGCAAGCCATGGAGCACCATCAGTCGGCCAACTTCTGTGGCAAAGTGAGCATACACCTTGCAGGCAGCGCATAAGAGTCATGGGAGCGAGGATTTTTTTTGTCAATTTTTCTGTTTTTTTTTTTTTGTGAATTTTCTTGCTTTTTCTTGCTTTTCCTGTGGTTTTCAGAACATGCCCTCCTGGTTCTGCCTGTCGTCCTCCTCTGGTGGGAATTCTTTTCTGTGCATTTTTTTGGTTTTTTTGGTGAATTTTGCTGGTTTTCAGCTTCCGATGGCCTCTCAGCGGCACCGCGTGTCCGGAACAGGTCCAAATCTCAACGTGCTACAACAACACATTACGTCCAACCCTTCGTCCTTTTGCAACTCGCGCTTGGAGCGTCGGGGCGGCCATCGTTGGCCCCGACAGGACTCAAAAGCTAGTTAACGTCCGGGGCTGGTTCAAGAGGAACCTCGGATGCTTCAATCTGAAACTTTGCTTCGGTTTAGGGCTTACTGCGCACGTAGGCCGCAAACATTCTATCAGGATTTGCGGCTTATGGTGGACGGTTTGGGTCTTATTAGGCTCTATGGTTTGCGGGGTCAAGGTTGCTCCTCGTATCATTGCCCCTTCAGTCCGGAACTACGGCTTAGGGTTTAGGGTGTAGGGTGTGTTGCGGGAAGCGGGGGGTTGGGGGGGGCGCAGCCCCCCCCATTTGCAAACACGATTCTCGCATCATGGGTTTCCGAAAATGTGTGCATATGGCATATGCTTTGAGGCAAGCTTGCATGGCTTGAGAAAGGGGGGGATTTGGGGGAAAAAATTGTAAAAAAGTTGGTTCTGAGGTGTTGCCGGGTATGGTCTGGGGGGTATGTTCTGAGACCTTGCCCTACCCTATATAGCCACCTCATCCATTCTCTCACATGCTCACCTGTTTCATTCCTGCCTTCATCGTCGCCTCATCCATTATCTCATTCTTTGTCAGCTCCTTCATTCCTCTCTCTCACCAATCATCAACATCGTCGCCTCATCCGTTTCTCATCACAATAAAAATTTAAGTATCTATAAATTCATTTTTTCCATTCCTCAACATCGTCCCCTAATTCGTTTTCATCTTTCGTCATATCGCCTCACCCGTTTTCTGGGACTTATCCCCCTCAAAGACTTTACCAAAGATTTATAATAAATTAATATTATAAATATTTGTTTAACTCTTCCAAATTCCGTTGTCCTTCCACACTTGCACTATCGTTTTTAATATTGATATTCTTAAATCATTATTGTCAGTCATTGTTCTAATTGCTTCACGAAGAATACAAATGTTAATATATAATGAATTCATACCGTTTCGTTTGTTCAACTCTTCTCCAACCCTTTTAATGGTTTCTACATCGTCAATTTTTTCATATATGTCAATCATTCCGTCCTCATCTTTCAATACCATAGTAGCAAATAACAATTCAAGTCTGTCGTCTTTTGTTTTCTTATCATCTTCATCAATGGGTGTTTCCTTCATCAAAAATTTATCTGAAACTTTAGTCCAAAATTTATTTCCACTTTGCGGTAGTGGGTTTTCCTTTATAAACTGTTTGATTTCTTGCTGTGTCGTTCCCCCTTGCAGTTTCCAGTTCATCCTGTCCTACTATACTAAGACGTTTTCCCTTTAAGTAGTTTTGCCCACCTCACACGATTTACCAAAGATTTATAATAAATTAATATTATAAATGTTTGTTCAATTTTTAATCTTGTTCTCTATCAAATATTTCATTTAAATGTTCTTGTAATCTGTCAAGATTTAAATATCTAATATCTTTGCCAATAAAACTAATGAGAAACTCATACATAATGTATTTAAATAGCACTTTATCAGGATATGTTTTATTGTAATAACTATAATGTAATATTAAAATATTTTCTCGTCTAGTAACATGTTTCATTATTTCCTTATTATGAAGAAAATCCAAAACAGCATCAAACTTATTAAAAAACCTTACTCGCATGTTCTTTATAAAAGATATAATTACTTTCTTGTAGGGATTATCACTAAATAAAAACATATTTACCAATTTACGTTTTTTCGTTTCTACATCATCTCCAGCAAAATATACATCAAAATTATCTCTTTCTTTTAATATGAAAAGTTGTTTTTCAAAGGTTGTTAGTTTATCTTTCTCTTCAGGGTAGAAATCATAATTATCTTCTAGGTCCATAAGACGATTGCAACTGCTACAGCAACAATGAAACGATTGTATAATATTTGCTATTGGTTCTGGTAATATTTTATTTAAGGTTTCCTTATTCTGTTGTGTCCGCATATACTTGCACTCTTGACACTTGCTATAGTCAAAGACAGTCATACTCCCTACTACTTTAAGGCGTTTTATCTTTAAGTAGTTTTGATACACCTAGCACTAAATCAATACAACCATCATATTATTTTTTATAATATGATTGTTATAGATATTTTAAATATGCCAGTCTCCTATCCCATCCCAACAGTTTTGTTGTTGTAGTATCATTTTATTATAAAGTTCAGTTTGTTCAAATTTTGTTTTTGCTTTTTCACCAATAAGATATTTTAGGATTTCAACGAAAGCAAAAGAATTATAGGACATTGCTTGAAAACCTCCAGAACTATTAATTTCTTCTCCGTTCCGCCTCACTAAGTCTTCATCCTCAATATTTTCATAAATTTCTTTTAATAGCCTGTGGTTTTTATGTCCATATTCAGAGTTCATCATCAAATAGTGAAATTTAAACTCCATCTCTCCTTCGTCTTTCCATTTCTTCGCTTTACTTAATATCATATTTTCAACAAAATCATAACTTGGATAAGGGTTTTTCTTAACAAACTTCTTAATATTCTCAATCGTTTTACTCTCCATAACTCTCTACTATTCTAAGGCTTTTTGTCTTTAAGTACTTTAGTAATCATTTATTCACTAATAATATTTCGTGCCTCATATATTTCTTTGGCAACCCATCAATGACATAATATTTATTAAGTTGTGGGTCTCTATTAACTTCCTTCACTTCATAGACTTTCTCGCTCCACTGACTACGGCTTTCTTTCCTGCTGGTATAATTCCCTTTACCTTTAACAAATACTCTAACATCATCACCAGCTTTGATATTAGGATAGTTTCTTAAATACTTTTCTTTCATTACAGAATTGGCTTTGACTTCTATGCTATTCTCGTCTTTATGAGCCTCATTAGGAACTAGCCCCGTAGTCCCATGAACCATTTTACTATTATACTTATCTAAAACTGGTTTTAACATTATAGTCCAAGACCCCTTATGAATTTGTAATCTATCACTTATCATTTTCTTTAAGGTTCTAATCATTCTCTCAGCCACATTCGCATGTGTCAAGGTTACTTTATGAGTTATTCCTTCCCCTTTGAAATAATCTTGTAACTTTTTTGAATTGAAACTGCCCTCGTCATCACTGTATATTGATTGAGGATGTCCCATCACTTTAAAGCATTCCATAAACGCGTCATAAACAGGGTCTGTATCTTTATTCTTCAAGACGACTACGTGACATTTTTTACTAAAATTATCAATACAAACGAAACCATACAATGGATATTCTTTTTTATATGTGTCAGTATCTTTCATTAAACTAATCATGTTCATCAAATCTACACTATACACAGACCTAGCGAATGGAGGCGAATAGCTGTTATAGTTTTTATAGTTTTTTCTTTGCTTAAGAGACTGTCCCCTCAACCATTCCTTAACTTCATTTAACGTTATTACCAATCCAGCTTTTCTGGCATCGTCATATAAACTCTTAGCGCTACCAAAACCGCTTTCAATATCATAATATAAATCGCTTAAAACCTGATTTTTCTCAGCCATTAATTAATATTATTTATATTTTAAATAATATTAATTCCATAGCAACACCTTTTTGACTATCTTCTCCTGTAGCTCTTTTTGTTTATTCTCTTCATAAATTTCCTGACACCTTGCGGTGTTCTGATGCTTGGCTCTGTTTGTTTTACTGCTAATTGTCTTTCCACACCTCTCACACTCATAGCTACAACTGTTTTTCTTATAATAATTATTCCAATATCCTTGCTCCTTATATTTGACATACAACCTTTCGTTTGTTGCGTTCTTCTTCATCCTATTAAAATCCGGCATTTTGTTTTCCTTCATAGCGTTCCACATACAGTCAAACAGGTCATCGTCCATTTGAAGTTTTACTCCATCCATTACAAGCGTTGAGTTCATTATCTTACTTGTAAATGTTAATATTTCTTTAAGTAGATTTGCGTTTTTAACGCAAAAATCTTTAAAGCAAATATTAACTCCCAACTGAACGAACGCTTCCTCTGGAGCTTCTGCTCCTTATATATTCTATTGTTTCTTGTGACCGCCTTGAACTAATAACACTCTGCGGAGGCGTTGCTTCATCAACATATTCAATTGTCCTATCGCTTTGTATTGAACTTTGAACTGATACTGGCGGGGAAGAATGAATATGTTCGCTTAGTGCATTTTCTTCAATAGGTAGTAAAGCGCTTCTATTTGTTGAGCTTCTCCTTGAACTTGAACTTGATGACGAAGGTTCATAAGGTTTTTTAACATTCATAGACAAACTATTATCGCTTTCTTCGCTCTTTTGTTGCTCCAAAGGTGTTTCACTTTCTAAATCATCATCATCTTCAATTTGCTCTCTCCTATTACGCAGTTCTTCTCGTTCTTCTCTAAACTCATCTTCTCCGAACATAGCATCATAAATTCGTCTCATCATTGATTTTCCCCTTTCCCTTTCTGGATTTTCTTTCTGTGGTTCTTCTTCTTGAGTTGGTTCGCTTTCTGCTTCTTCGCTCTGTGTAGGTTCTTCTTCTCTTCTAATGCTCTCGCTCTTTTCAGTTGAAGGACGACTTTCAAATAAATCCGTTTGTGTTCCTTTCTCTGGGTTATTTAATAATATTTCTTTTTTATCGTATCTGCTTAAATCAAAGTCATCAAAATCAACATCATCTATGAATATTCCTTGTTGTGTTCGTTTCTGCCTTTCTGGTAGTATTTTTAGTCTATGTGTCATTGTCTCTTTTAATAT